AGAATTTTGTTTGTTGTCATGTTATTTTTCATGAAAAATTATTTTCTTACCATTCCATTATAAATGTTAAATTATTTGAGATCACTTCTCATATCTTGGTCTCCTAATTGCATAGTTGACCTTTTTTTTCTTCCATTGAATTGTTCTTTTGACGCCTAACAATTTTCACCACCAAATTTATCACATTGACACTTTTCTCATACTAGACAACCCCCATCTTGTCTCAAAGATTTTCATTGCAAATACTTCAAACCATATTCATCTGAATGAGTCAAACCCTCAATCCTTTGTTTGATTTTCTCTCCTACAAGTTTATATCCCCATCTCATAAATATTTTTTTGTTAATATTTCTTTCAATTATGAATGACAATTTTGTCATCATGATGTATGACACTAAAAGTTGAGACACGAAATGGAATTGAAAAACACTTGATCATAGTTACTTTTCTAGTAACAAAATTTTTAAATCACATGTCATTAAATTTATTACATTAAATAGGATTCTAATAGCAATGGTGAATGATATAAAACTTTTTAGTCACTAGGAGACGCACACAATAAGTAGTTAAGTTTCTTGAAATATTTTATCCATTTGTGAAATTCGCAAGTATTAAACTAATGCTCATGTTACCGTAATGAATAACATGCACCTTCTTCAACTAGATATTCAGAATACTTTTTAAAATGTGATTTTTTGGTCCTTACAAGTTTTTTTTTTGTTGTAAATTACACTTCTATGGTCCTTTACATGCATCCACACAATGGTACTCAGAATTGTTCATTTTTACTTCTAATTGATTAAGTCTAAATATGACTATTTTTTATTTATATTTTTTGTGTTCATCCCTTTGAGGGTTTACTTGTGTATGTTGATGATATTATATTAGTTTAACTTTTACTTGCTTATGTCAATATTAAGCTGAAATACCTTTTTGGAATATTATCTTAGTTTTAAAATTACTTTTTTTCAATTGAAATCATTTTTTTTCAATGCCATTATACTTTAAAATTACTTGATAATATTAACTTTATTGGTTCTAAACATTTGTTTATTCATATGGATCACTAACTAAAACTTACTAGCAAAATAATAGTACTATTTGATGATGCATTACAATATAAAATATTGATAGGTCACCTATTGTATTTGACCTTATCATTTCTTGATATCAATTTTGTTAAACATAAGTACAATCAATTTATAATTCCACCTTTTCATCCTTATCTACTAGCTATACACCATTAACTTGGATGATTCAAGTCTACTTCCATTATTTTCTCCTACATTGTCCTCCTTTAAAACATGGGCATTATCTAATGTAGGTTGAAGTATATTGTCACAAATGAATCACTGGGTTTTATATTTTTCTAAGCAACTCCTTCATCTCTTCAAAGATAAAGAAATAATTAACTAATTTTTTGGTTGTTTGCCAAAGTTGAATATCGAGCATTGGTTGCTACTATTATAAGATTTTTTTCGTTACAACTAATGTTGGATTTTTATATCATGCCACCTCTACCAGTTCTTTTATTTTGTGATAACCAAGCTGCTATTTATATCGCTTCCAATCCAACATTTAATGAGCGCACCAAGGATTTTTGATTGACTGTAACTTTGCTTGAGATAATCTAGTTGAGGGCTTCATCAAACTTCTTCGATCAATCAATTTTTTCCTTTATTGTTTTTAATGAATGTTAAACTTTTATCGCTCATGTTCAGGGGTAGTCTTAGGGATTCCAAACGTGTGATTAAACACGTGTGGGGCCTATGTTTTAACAGGAACAGAAATTAGAAATACAACTGATTCTCAAATCTCGTTCCTGTAATATACTTCATTCTGACTGTTAGACGAGATGCGGCGATCTATGTCCTTCAGTTTGAGCCCGGCGCACCCTTGCTGGGTCGGGGCGCAGTCGTCCTCTACGTCTGTATCTTTTTCGAGGAAAGACGAAGGCGTTCGATTGTCTGGAGAAAAAGCAGTAGTGGTCGATCCTCGAGGCATCTTCTCCATTATCTCTTGCCGGCATGCTCTCCACCAGAGACCCCAGATGGTACTACCACAGGTCTTCCCCACCGGCTTGTCCTCGAGACGATGTAGCGGAAATCTGAATTCCTAGATTTGGGAGGTAGGTAGCTACCTGAGAAAGTGCTCTCCTGAGAAGAAATCCGAACCTTCTTGCGCACAGTGGCGCCTGGTGTGTGTTTCTTTCTTGTCTGAGGACGAGAAAGCTCCGAACATCTGTATCCGGCGGCGACCGGCGATCTCCTCTCTGCGCGGCGCAGCCGGTGGCAGTCGCGGGGAGGGAGTTGGCCGGTCCGGCCGTCTCGTGGGCACTTTCTTTTGTGGAGCTCGGCTCTTGAGGGAACCGATCGGAGAGTTGACCCGGCCGCCCACAAGTTGGGCTGCCTTTCAGGTCGCGGGGACTGCGGTAGGCCCCTGACTACCGTGCGGCCATCTGCGAATTCGGGGTCCAGTGGGACGAGGCGAGTGGTGATTTCCTCCCGGTTCAGGTGTTCGTTCGTCCGTCCTCTCCGGGCGGCTCGACCGCAAGGAGGTTGCTCTTCGGAAACGGGGGAGGACTGGAGAGAGCCGAGCTAGTGGAAGTCTGAGAGAGAAAAGGACGACTAAAGGCGCCAGCAAAGCGAGAAAAAGCCGCCACCACACTAGCAGTACGATGCAAAAACAGCGGCGTGGCCGAAGACAAAGGCGTGTGACAGACCGGGGTGTGTTGGTTCCCGTCCTAAAGGAACTCTAAATCCCATGTTCGACGTCAGGATACCATACCTACAGCCCATTTACATCAAAAAGATCAAAAGCCCAGAGGGAGAGAGAGACAGAGAGAGAGGTGAGGATGGTGACAAATCGACGACACACCACCAACGTGTAGCGCTGCAACGGCAGCGGCACCGGTAGAACGCAGCGACGGTAGAGGGGAGATGGGAACGCCGGGGACGGGGGGCGGGAAGCGCTTGGTCTCCTCCGGCCCGGCGGCGGTGCGCGGCACTCGGTTACCTGGGTGGGTGACACCAGGAGAAGTAAAACAGTGGAATTTGGGCCAGGTTCCCTTTTCACTGATAGAGCGGGATCATGAATCTCCGCTTTTCAAAAAGTAATTGTGCCGCTTACTCGCGGCAAAAGGTCATCGATGACGGCTAATGAAAACGATGCCAGCTAATTAATCCAGAAAAAAAATTCGACGGGAGGCGACGGAGGCCCAGCACTAACAGTGGACACGGGAGAAAAGGACTCGTTGTGAGTGGGGGCGGGGCGAGGGGTTCATGGAAATGGAGGGGACGGCGGACGAAGAGGAAGAGAAAGCCGCCCCCGAAGGATAGTTCCGAGTAAACGATCGCCACAGAGACAGAGACGTCTCCACCGCTGGAGAGAAGAGAGAATCGATTCGGGGCAAGGGGTGGAGAAGCAACCAACCCCTGAAGCGAGCGTTCAGATTTGGACGGAAGTAGGCAGCGGGAAGCAAGGGAGCCGTGGAGATCGGGAAGCCCTTCTATGTGGGCGTGGTGCTGGTGGCGGCGGGAAGGCAACAGCGTTGGGATGGGGAGATGGGTCAGGAATCTCCGGCGACCAAGATAATTCAGATGTCATGGCAAGCCCTGGTAAGAGAGCAACTGAGGGAAGCCCTTCCGGGTCGTAATCAAGACCTCCTCAGCACTCTCTGCTCCCTTATTCCTGTTCCTGTTCTCCTCCCTGGAGGGGCTGTTTCTAAGGCCGAAGTCATTTATACCTTTCCTCAGTGCGCCATTGACAGTCCTACCATTGCAACGGCTGTCTTCCTTCGGTGTCCTCTGCGCTCTCTGTTTCATTTAGCTCGGTCGCTGGAAATATGGCGTCTATCATCGATCCGACTGGCAGTGCGATGCGAAAATCCTCGTGCTTCTCTTCTCACATCTGTTTGCGGTGTTTTTGCTGGCTGTTATTGATGCCCTCCTTCCATATTGGTAAGTTTATCGGAGCTTTAAGAATTTGATGGGGGGTGGAAATTCAATCCGTTGAATCAAAATTATACATTTGTTGAGCTTTTTCAGCAAACTCTTCCCGCAAAACCCTTTTCTCTTCGTCTATCAACTTATCTGGAAACTTGCAGCTTAATGTTACGCACTCTTTGTAAATTTAACAGAAATGAGAGAAAAGATGAGTCACCTCTGAAATGAAAGAAAATTATGCGGATCAACTTAGAGGCCTGCTATTTTCTGGCTATCCGATTAAAAGCTCATCTTCGATGAATGCAATGGGATGCTGAGTCTTTCATATAAATCCACTGAAGATCAAAGCCCTGAAGCTTATCGGGAAACTTCGACTTTATGGCTCCCTCATCTGCGCAGTTTTATTTTTAGAAATTAGCCTGAACTTACATTCTAACTGATCTCATCCTTATGATCATTCTATTGATAATTATGGTTGCGTCGTATGGGTAGAGTTTCATGAAACCACATAACACATATGATCTACGTGTATTATCAAACTTGTGCTGCTGTGACCTGGTTTCAAATGTTTATGGAAGATATAAAATCATCTAAAGCGTTGATATAGAATTTCCATTTTCTCTCGGAAAACTATTAGACAAATAATCAATGCAATTGGTACATGCTGTGGATGTTTGCTGTCTAATTTCAATAATTCTGGCTTTTTTCTTGTTCGAGCATGTTCTGTCTCTGCTGTTGACGGGAACGAAGATGGTGCAGATATTTCCTGATTTAGATTTTAAAAGGATGTTTATCTTTTATTTTAGTTTTCTTTGCGGTAAGTTCTATCTGATTGGGGGAAGTCAATGAAGGGTTGAGAGATTAGGGATTCGAAAAACAGAGACGGTCAAGAAATATAAAATTCGGGCATGACTTATTTGGAGGAACCATGAAGGCTTTGAAAAGTCATCCATTTGACCAATTTTTTGAGGCATTATGCATTATTTAAAATTGTATTTCACGGATACTTGGTACATTCCTTGGGGTTGTTTTTTTAAGTTGGCTGTTGGATTGATAATGGATGCTGTTTATTTTTTCCACACAGGTCTTCTGAATGTTCAGGCATTCACAGGGACTTACGGGATAAATTATGGTAGGATTGCTGACAATATACCTCCTCCAGAAAGTGTGGTAACCCTCTTGAAAGCATCCAAGATAAAGAACGTTCGGATATATGATGCTGATCACAGTGTTCTGACGGCATTCAAGGGATCTGGCCTTGAGCTTGTTGTGGGGCTGCCGAATGAACTTGTGAAGGATATAAGCATTAGTGAAGACCGAGCCATGAGCTGGCTGAAGGAGAATGTACAGGCTTTTCTTCCTGATACGCACATTCGGGGCATAGCTGTCGGAAATGAGGTTTTAGCAGGCTCAGATCAGGAACTCCAAGAAGCTCTGCTCGGTGCTTGCAAGAACATTTATGATGCTCTGGATAAGCTCCAGTTGACGGATCTAATCCAGGTATCAACAGCGCACTCAGAAGCTGTGTTTGCCAATTCATATCCTCCATCATCGTGCACCTTTAAGGAGGAAGTAATTCAGTATATAATGCCACTCCTACAATTCTTTTCACAAGTCGGATCGCCCTTCTACGTCAATGCTTACCCTTTTTTGGCATACAAGAGCGATCCAGAACATATTGACATTAAATATGCTCTATTTGAGTCGAACTCTGGAATATATGACGCAAAAACTGATCTACATTACGACAACATGTTCGATGCTCAGATAGATGCGGCTTATGCAGCGCTAGAGGCTTTGGGATTTGAAAAGATGGAGGTTAGGGTTTCAGAGACAGGTTGGGCATCAGATGGTGATAAGGACGAAGCAGGAGCCTCTGTTGAGAATGCGAGAACTTATAACTACAATTTGCGCAAGAGGCTGTTTAAGAGAAAGGGGACTCCTCTCAGGCCAAAGATGGTGGTGAAGGCATATGTCTTTGCATTGTTCAATGAAAATTTAAAGCCTGGCCCAGCCTCTGAGAGGCACTATGGACTTTTCAAAGCTGATGGTAGCATAGCGTATGACATTGGATTCAGTGGCCTCAGCCCTTCATCTGCATCCGCACTTCATTTGTCGATAAAGGTAAATGCATCTGAGATACTTATTATTATTTTTATTTGAAATCCTTTTGAATTCATATCTCTTTTAAAGAGGATTTGACGTCACCCTTCTAAGGACCATTTATATTTTCCCATGTGCTTATTACGGGGACAAAAGTTTTGACTATTAGAAAGTTCTGTGTGCATAATTAGTCATGGTCTCTGTAAATTTATGTACAATTAATTTTTCCCTCAACCGTTTGCACTTTGGATCTCAAGGAATACTTGGAAGACCAGTTTTCTACCTGATCTTGTTCTGGTCAGACTTGGCTGATTCGATCTATCATGGTGTTGCTTTTTTCGGAATGGGTTCTAAACATTCTGAACTAATTATTTCTAATCGTTGGTAACGTACGCATTGAACCAGCTGGAATTTTTTTCGCCATCACTCTCCCCGAAAAGTCTAGAAACCAGCATGCTAAACCTCTAGATGTAGAGAAATGATAACATTCTCTTCATCTGTGAATTTGCAGCTTTCTTGACAGTATGATCTACTGTCCACTGCTTCTTGGTATCGTGTTTTATGCGAGAATTGGTTGAAATTTATAATTATCATACCACTGCTTTTAGGATTTGTGCGGTTTTGTCTTGTGCGTGCGTGCGTGTGCTGAACAGCTAGATGATTGTTCAATGAGGATGATTGGTGTGGGTCTACTTAAGGAATGACTAGTTTTGGATAGTTGAGATGACATATAGGTTTTCATGTGAGACGTGATTATTATTCCGGTGAGAATAAATGCTATTCTATGACTTGATTTTCCATAGAGTCCCAAGTAAGGGAATAAATTGTGCATTTTGTGGTAATATTCAGAGAAACCCAAAGGGATGAGACCAAAATAATGCCTTGGGAATTTCCGAGTATAATGTCCAACCTGGCGGAAATGCGAATAGTTTCGTGCAAGGACACCCATTCGGACATCACCTAGGCTCTGCTTCATTAATTCAGAAACTGGAACCCCAGAGAGAAAAGTCTAGAGCTTTTCTTGATCTTTGGACGTGATTGGTAGGTGTATTCTGCTCAAATATACCACTGCAGCGTGTAACTAATTCCTGCGTCCATAAGAAAGTGCAACCATACTACTTCAGGGCTTGTGCATGTTTTAATATTTTCACCGGGAACAGCGTAATTTTTTCAGTTTTATAAAAATAGCCTGGAAATTCCTTCGTGGATTCGGGTAGTGCCAAGGTGGCTTGTTTTGTCGTCTTTCCTTCTCTAGTGTGGAGCTCAGCTGTGGCGTTCTTGTTCGAATACCTCCTCTCCGTGTTCTTTATAACTCAATTATCGCAGAGATTTGAACATCACTATTGTGAACCCTGGGTACGGGTTTTAGAATAGTCGATCATCAGGGCTGTTTGCAAATTCGGGCTGGGAATGGCCGTTGTATAACTTCGGCGACCTTAGGAGAGTTGCAATCTTTGTAGACGGTACAGAAGAAATCAGGAAAAGCTGCCGCCCCATTTGATCCAGCTCATCCAGTTCGCGTGTCTTTGTGCGGCTTTATCAACTATTGCATGGTGATGAAGAGGAGTGTCTCGATCGAAGGAAGGGTGGTGGAATGGAGTTTCGAATCATTGACGAAGAACTGTCGAGGATCAAACTTTGGATCATCCGCCTGGTACATGTTGAATGGGCATGACAGTTCTGGGCTGGCCCTGTAGGTCGCAGACTTCTCTGGAGGGTCAGCTTGTGCCTGTGGATGTCGTAATGGGTGAAACATTAGGATGACCACCTTCCTCTGGCGTTGGTAGGAATGCTCTAGCCTGCTAAAATGAGGGGGGAGGGGGTTGGTACCCCGTGTCCGCCTTCCGCTTTAAGAAATTAGTCGTAAATTCCTACCGTTTTGGAAGGACGTTGGGGAGGTGCTCTCGTGAAGCGCTCTCTTTAGTTTCTACCAGCATTTTCGGGGAACTAAGGCTACCTCTGGCGTGCGTCCAGTGAATGACCTCTTACTCTTGTTATTGCAGGGGACTAGAACCGGAGTCTGGTCGAGCCCCTCCTACGCCGCTCTGCTTTCTTTTTGCCCGACGGTGTTGCTCCTCCTCGCGTTCAGCGGCTAACCGAAGCAGGAGCCTGGGGTGGGTGCGTCCTGAGGAGCACAAGATGCAATTGCGTGAGGAGTTTCTGAACAGGAGGGAGCTGCGACTGTGTCACACATTCGTCCATTCTTTCTGCACGCGCAGAAAAACTATTTCGAATCACTTGCCTCCGAAGGAAGCCAGCCGGCCACGTTGGAACAGCGAGTAGAAGCGGTGGATAGAACCCGCACGTCCCTCATGCTGCTCTTCCCGCTTGAGCCGGCGCCCGGGACGCGCCGCCGGCACGGCGTGGGAGGACCGAGGCCGTCCTCTCTTTCAGCAGTTCTCACGGAAAAGCCGAGCCTCGTTTGCTAGAACTCTCCCCGATCTTTAGCTGGCCAAATCGGTGCACGGTAGATGTCGTTCAAAATTGAATTGGAGTTCGGAGCGAAACGGGCCTAGCCGCTGCCGATTTGTGTTCGCGTCTCTGCCTCAACGCCGTCTTCCCGTCTCCCCCACCCGTCCCCCGCGCCTGGAGCTTACGGGCATCGCTTCCCTGCTCCTCCCGTTGGCGGCCGCCGCAGCCCTTCCATCGTAGAAGAGAATACCTGAAACATACGAGAACATTCTTTAATTTGAGGGTGGGACCTCTCGCTGATGCTGGTTCGAATCCGCAGCTATGCTACCGCGCCGAACGCGAGAGATTCAACGGAGGGACCGGGTTGTGGCGAGGAGATCTGCTAACAGATGCGGGACAAAAGCTCCACTGCTGAGGGTGATAGGGAATTAACGTTTCCCACACACACCCATTCTCTCGTGATCCACTCTAAGGATCTCATTGAGCCGTCGGGCCGTCTACCAAACACTGATTATCAATGTCATCCAATGGTGAGCATCTCCGAAAACATGAGCGCGTCCGGGCTAGAGCAATCGATGGCAGCCGGAACAGGCTTTATATCCCATCTTTGCTCGTCAGCTTTGGATCGATTGATCCTGCCGATCTGGAATGATATCGAACAGCTTACGTCAGCTGGTTTATGGATCTTCCACTCTATCATTTCACCACACAAACCGAATATTATCCTTAATGGTGCCAAAAGAAACACGAGATAAAGATCATGTTGAAATAAATGTCGATCAACATCCTGTCTGTGCGTGTAGCCGACTACATCTTTTTCAGGCGTCGACAGACCCGATAATCCTTCATTTTTACGCGCCGGAGGCTGACCATGATCTTCTCGAGTCTCCTTGTGGTGGCGAGCTCTCCCAGCCGCCACGTACGAGTGCAGGCGTACCTTGTACTGAGTGTAGGACAACCGTCTAGAAATTTCACAATTCGTCCGCTGATCAACTTTCTCGTAGGGTGAAAATAGAAAATATCGTGGGAACAGACGCACGAAAAACTGGAGCTAGGAAAGGAGTGGAACGGAGTTCTATCGATGCATGTCTAGATGTACCGAGTCCGGAAACCCACTTGTGGCACATCAGCTAGGAAAGGAGTAGAACGGAGTTCGGTCGATGCATGTCTAGATGTGTCATGAACCGAATCCGGAAACCCGCCGCACATCAGCATGTGCCACAAGTCAGCTCGGTGGAAACTGCTGTTCCCCAATATTATCTTTTCGGTAGGCTGGGCCAATTTGATTTGCAGTGACCCCTTCGTTCTCAGCTCTGAACACAAGAAAGATAATTCCGAAAAAGATGGAGGCCCCAATCAGTTCGGTGAATTGTCTTCATCCTGGGCTCTGTAAGAAAAATAATTCCGAAAAAGATTGTCTTCATCCTGGGCTTTCACAGAGGTCAAGCCTATATGAAACCAGTGTGAGGGTGAAAGGTAATAACTTATGTAAGCAAAATGTAAAATAATGCTCCAAATCTGTTTTCCAATTATTTCTTTTATTGATCCCCACGTCATCTTGATTTATTCTTTTGATGATTTATCACTTGAGTGTGGACTCCAACTTTGGATGTGCACTAATTCATGCACACCTGTAGACATTAAAACTCGTTGGTAGCTATCATCTCTTCAAATCAGTTCACGTTGGAAATGAAAGATATCGTGTTGAAATAACAGAGAATGATAAAATCAAATAAGAATAGATCAGAAATCACACATGAATCCACAAAGTCTCAAGAATGGGGTTGACCTTTTAGATCAATAGAAATGAGTCATCCAATCTTCTTCAAAGAGAGATGAAATGTTGTCAGAGTAATTCTCAATGTATGACCCAAATATTATGACTCTCTATTTATAGATAAGAGGTGGTTTGTCTTTTGATGTCATTTAGCTTATCATAAAATTAGAATATGACTTAGTATCTACACATTTATATTTGTATTCATACTTACCAAAAGATGTCATAATTTCAAATACTTAATTTTTTTGTAAATCACTTTAAATAAGATTAATTCAATGATAATCTCATGATATGTAATTCATATATATCTATCTAGATTGAGATTACTTCAAATAATCTCTTACATAGATAATATATATATATATATATATGATAACTTAATATTATATATTATGATCTTATGAGCTTAATATATTATTATTATTACCAAAAATATTTCCAATAATCTCATTCATCATTATATCAATATAGAACTAACTGTACTTTTGTTATGTTTTTCACGTAACTGAATTTAATAATAATCACATATATTGCTATAATGAACAATATGAATTTACTATAGATGTGCCACATAAAATTTTATAAAATTGGATTTATATATGTACATTTTCAACTTAGTACTCATTATTTTGAATAGAGATAAACCAACCAATGTCATATTAAGAATAATCATAAACTTTATTTATACATGAAATCATCAAAATATATATTTATAAACACATAAACCTCAAAATACAAACTCCTGAAATATATATCTTCATGAGGTATAACGCTCATATGAGTAGTATGCTTAGAAAAGAACTTTGGAGACAACTTATTAATAAATAGATTTATTATCATATAATTTGTCATAATATGTTCTATAAATACTTAATTCCTCTTAACTATTTCCTTAACTATTAAGAACTTGATGTCTATATGCTTAAATTTCGTTAAGCTCATATTATTATTTAAAAAGTATAACATCTAAGTTTTTGTCACAAAATAATTTTAGTGGTCTTTTAATTCTATTAAGAGTTCGTAATCATGTGACACAATTCTTCAATCAAATCTCATGATTTAATGTATCATAGCATGCTATAAATTATATTGTCATGATATAATAATTTATTATAGATGTCCTTAATTTTGACACTTATATTCTAAATTTTATTTATGACTTATTAGTGAGTGAATTATTAAATAATTCATTAAATTATTAACAGATATCATGATTTTTCACATCACAAGTTACATATTACTAATAAATATTCAAAATTATATAGATTGATGATGTTCAATATAATCATATGACTAACAATGAATTGAAAGGGTCATTAATGGTACTTCTTATTACCAAATATTGAGTGTAATTAATATTTTATCTTTGGATAACATTATTAACCGTAAATAATAGTTTGGTGTGATGAATATATAATGATAATAAATTTATATCAAACAATAAAAAAAATTACCAACTTATTATTCACATGAAAATATCAAATAATTGACACATATTTATTACCAATAAGTGTATGTAATTTATAAGATACTAAAGTTTCATTTGAGCTTGCTAATATGTATATCAATCACATATATAATTTTAAAATAATCAATCTCCACAAGAGTGCTTACTTGTAGGATGTTGTTTCAATCAGTAATTCTAAAATATTAAACATGTGACAAGATTTGAAGTATGAAAGCTATTTGACATTTAAGCATACTCAATGTAAACGTATAGTTTTAATAGCCATTGATCTAAGAGACCGAATATTGACGTCATCCTCCGACCGACTTGTGTGTTACCCGGATCGGCTCGTACCAGGCTGGCACGATTTTCTTGTTGGGGCGGCAGGCCATTCTTCCATCCCGATGCGGGCTGAGCCGGTCACCCAAACCGGCGCACCCTAAGCGAGCCGATGCGCCGTTTCACCTAATCGGCGCGACCTAAGCGAACCGGCGCCCAAACCGCCGTGCGATGGTTCCTTTCCGGACCGCGAACTCCCGTCCGCCGCGCAGCGAAAACGGTGCGGTCCATTCTCCCGCTAAATCGGGAATGGAGGAGCCGGTCAAATCGCGTTGCGCCGGCCCAAATGGAAGCGGGGAACCCGGGAGTTTCAGCGCCTTAGGGCTTGAACGGTCAGCCTGAAATGATCTCCTATTAGAAACGGGAAAAGCGGCGGATGGTCCGCCCGTTCGCCCCTCTTCCCTCCAGCGGTTTCCAGAGCGATAGGAAACCGGGGAGGGGGTTGGTGGGGTTCATGGGGAAGGGGCTGCAGAATGGTGAGTCGCGCACGAGTCTTCCGTCCGACGGTAGAAAGGGAGAAGGGGGAATGGGTGGATCTGTCATTCGAGCCCCATGATATCCAAATGGAAATCTTCTTGTGGGGGAAAAGAGAGAGTATGCGGAACCCACCGCTCCTCTGAGGAGCGGTTGACGGTTTAGGAGTCTGTCTACACGGCCCGCACAGCCTAGTAAATCTGCCCATGGTAAGCCCATAACTTTATGGTTTGTCATAGTGGACGCTGGTACTATCCATGAGGCATTCGAATGGCAAATCCACCTCAAACTTTATGGTGGTCATCCAAGTGAATATGAATAAGATGTCATTCTTCACTTATTGAAATTGAAGGATCTAGTGCTGAAATAATGCAAAATGATAAGATCAAATAAGCATAAATAAAAAATCATATTTAAATTCATAAAAGACTAAAAAAAGGAGTTCACTTTTTTGATCAGTACAAATTAATTGTCTAATGACTCAAAGAAAGATGAGATGCTCTAAGTATGACTTTTTACGTGTGACATAAAGATTATGACCTCTTATTTATAGACAAGGGGTGGTTTGACTCTTGATGTCCTTTTTCATTTTAGCCCATTATAAAATTAAAATAAGACTTAGTCTTTACATATTTATATTTATACTCATATTTATGAGAGATGCCATAATCTTAAATATTTAAACTTTTGTGAATCAACTTAAAGATCAACTCAATGATAGCTTCATAATATATAATTCATATATAAGTTTCCACGATGAGATTAATTCCAACAGATCCATCTTAGTTCTCATAGAAAAGAGATGACCAGTTGATGTACTAAACTTTTGTTTCTTTGTCACAATATCTTAAGTATATGAGAGCTTTAAAAGAGGATGCCGATTTTTGTGATTGCAGGGTGGTCTGCGTCAATTTTGGACGAGAGGAAGGGAAGAAATTATTTACACAGCCTTGCCAATTGTCATTTTTCTGGAGACTGCGGAGCACACTAGTGTAATCAGCTTTTACTTCGACATACACCTTCTCAACTCGCCAAAAAGCTTACACTACTGTGGCGATCTGGATATTGCGCAGATCATCATAAATCTCTACCGCTTCTTGAGATAGACCTTCGCGGAGTTGATGCTCCTTTCCCCCGTCGTGGAAGAAATAACGAAGCCCGAGAAAAGGGACGCAGGGAAAAGGCTGTGAAGACATTCTCAGGACCTCCCCCCCACCCCGGGCCTAACGATACTAATAGTGCCGATTACGCTGGCCGATCGACCTTGAATCCTGAGAGCTTTCTTAGAAGCCAAAGGGGGATTATACGAGATTACGGGCAAGTCACCGAGAGGAGACGTCAGTACCCTGCCCCTTCGGGAAGCCGTTCAGGGAGGATACTTTTGCTTGCGTATGTAGAGCTTTTGGAGACTGAAGCGTTGACTCCACGACGAGTCCCCGCACGGGGTTTCTCTTGTCTGACAACCCCGGGCGTTTTTACAATAGCTTGAACTTTTATGCAGAAAAATAGGAAATTGGGGCCCACGTGTTATGGACTCTGCAGAGTCCACAGGTGCGCCGCCGCGCTCTGGGCATCATACTTTTGTCGCCAACAGGCGAGTGTTTCCGTTCCCCGGACGCCGGCCGGGGTTGCCCCGAGGAACATTGGCGCCGGCGACATACTCAGTGAGAGGCTAACGGGTGGGATATGCTACCACCACTGGCTCCGTTGGTCCAGTCCACTAAAGTACAAGCTATACAAGTTCCAGGATGCTGACACAGCCTCTATGCTCCTTTGCTGGTGCTGCTTTCTTTTGTAGAACTTCAATTCGTCAAGGGGCACTGCAGCGTCCGCTCCCCGGCAGCCCCAGATGAACACCGGGAAGCTCACTCATCCTCGGTCTCCGAGTCCAGAGGACAGGATCCATCATCCACATTGGCGAGTGGATTAAAGAATGGCGAACTTGGATCCATACAACCGGCTACAAGGTCCAAGCTGCATCGATTCCCCTGATCGACATACAACGAGTCAAACAAGTATACTGGTCGGGCTGGTGATTGTTTCCTCTTTTGAACTCTTCTCGCACATTAAATATGATGAAAAGAAACATCTACTCACCCCTTCTGCTGATAAGTTGGCAATCATTGCACATCTTGTAATGACGACATTCGAATCCGGAAAAATTGCTTTTTCACAGGCACCTTCCTTACTCAACTCTTCAGCCAGAGCCTGCATACGATATGTGCGCAACAATAAATACGACTCATATAAATCTTAAAATGTGATAGTTTTAAACAAAAGCAGCTCTTTATCAGGTATATAAATTTATATATCTGTGCAAGTTGACCAGAGACCGTGACTTGATCATGTTCAGCACCAACTATGTAAGAATTTGAGGGTTATCACCCGATCAGATCACCTGGGCACCAGCGGGTGACATCAACTAACTTCTCTGTTGTAAGCCAGTATTTTTCACTGACACACTCAAAATGCCAGTTAAGGCCATATCCAAACCTTAGCCATTGAAGAAATCATCAAGCAGGAGACATGAGACCGAAGATATAATTAACGCGCAGACTGGGAAGTTACAAAATTCATCAATTCTTGGGGCGAAGTAAGAAACCAAACCATGGATTTACCAATCTACCTTCTGCGACAGAAAAATGAGAAGATCTAGGTGGAATATGATGTCCAGACCTTTCTGAATCGTCTGAGATCATCGTCTCCAGTCTATCAAACAAGTGAACATCTAAATGACCCGTCACCAAAAGACACTGCACATGCCAACTCACTCTCAAGAAGGAACAAACCATAAAAGTAACCGAAAGTTTTTAACTCATTTCCACCCAGAACCAACATTTGAAAACGGAAAATTAATCATCTTCACTAGGTCCCAATACTTCCAAATTTACCATATCACTAGGTCTCGTAGTGAGGTCAACACATTTGCCTGGGGATGTCCGGCCAATAACTAAAGGTTCAATGCGCCGTATTTCCTGAACACTATGAGACACATATGTACCCTCATACTTAGTGACCCATGAACTCAGAGAAAAAAGGGAAATAGGGGCCTCCAGTTCATGTTATGTCCAATGATTCGAAATTTGCCATATGATTGGGTCACCGTTTCAAGTTCTCTTTTCACTGAAGAAAACAAAAGAAAAAAAAAAATCGAAGTAAAAACATACTTCATTGAAGAAGCTGATGGGTTTGTTCTGCCAACCCTTAAGGACTCGGAACTGCAATTTATAAGGCCCATCCCACTCTGCTCCATTTGTGAAAGAAAATATCAAGTTCACAGCTGCAAAAGTGTTTAATCAGACTGTGAGCTACAAAGCATACATACGAAGGAAGCTTATGGCAGAAAATCTACAGATTGAATATATGAGAAGCCACAAACCGTGCTTAGGAACGCATATCTTGATCGAGTATATAGGCGGGTCAGCTTTTCCTCGAGTTTTCCTCGTCATTTCCCTTGGTTCCCCCCCACACATTATGGGCTGATTGAAACCCCCTGAAGTGTTCACGTAAAACGGTGAATATTTATTCAGGGAGCATAAACGTGAAGCTTCCGTTCGTGCACATACCATTGAATGCAATTCCATACTCCTCATTTGGTAATAATTTGCTTGCCGCAGGATTATAGAAGAGTGTTAATTTCTCACCCTGTAAAAGCTTCAACCACATAAATGGGGAAAACAAATAAAATTAAGAGGAATCCAAATGTCAGTCTGATTGCCCAACATACCGACATTGGAGGAAGTCCATTCGTTGTTTTCCAATAGACAGGAGCCCTTCCAATGTCGAAATCAGCCCAAGTTGGCAGAATACATCTATAAAATGCAAAGAAAAACCAGGTTGCATAATATCATTAATTGGCGTGTTATATCTGTGTAAACTTTATCACATAAATCCTTTTTATCATTAATTTCTTTCTTCCTAGAGAAATTGGAAGCTGATGTAACGATATAATCAGAATAAGCTAGATGAACAAGAGAGGGAATACGGTATTTGCTGTCACTATTGATTAACGTTGAGATGTAAGTGAAAAAGAATACAACAATAATACTGTATTTTATGCAGGAAGATTCTGAAACAGTTAAGAAGGTCCTAGAGGATGCTAAAAATGCGGATTTAAAGGAAATGATGAATAAAAAATTTCGAAATTTTTAGGCATCGTAAGAACAAAAGAAAGATGGGCTAATCTGACACAAAGGTTAATGAAAATCAAGAAAGCGATGGGTACTATCATGGAGAGGGGACATAGGAGAGAATATGTAGAAAGACTAGGGCAGATGGAGCGAAATGGATCCGGAAAGACTCAGATATTGGAATATGCAAACTTCATATCAGTTAACAGAGGATAACTGAAGGAGCTGGACTAAGGGCTCAAGGACGAAACGAATTGTGTATTCACGGCTCACATTAGTCCTATTTTGTTTTTTTTCTCCATCTTAGGTATGCACTCCTTTTGACTATCCTCCTTTTCCTCATTTTGATCCATATATGTTCAGATATTTTTTCTCTCTAATAAATTCCATTTTACGTTCGACTTAACAACTCAATAGAAGAACATGGGAATCCCCAATAGACAAGTGGTTGCAACATGAACTCGTGATTGGACAAAATAATTTAGTAGGCTATCAACTTTTTATCTAGGGCATGATGAGCAGTCAACAAGAATATCAGCATCAGTGACTAAGCGAGGCAGCATTAGTACAACGATCTTGCAGCGGCCAGGAAGTGTCTACTTCGTGACTTACTAATTGCCAGCAACAGGAAAATCTTTTTTGTCACCAATTCATGGGTATAATATACATATGAAAATCGGCAGCTTAAGCAATTTGGGTAGGTTGTTGCATCAAAAGGAGGCTGAAAGAGCGGACATACGTGGTCCTCTTACCCAGCCCTGGGCTTGATCTGGGGCTTCAGTGGGGCTCTGTCTTGGCATTCACAGAATGCCTAGGCTGCATCACTGGGCATTTTCGTAATAATCCGGCACTCATTAATCTCAAGATAAGCTTCCTAGGATTTGATAAGAGTTTCTTCTTGTAGTTTTGCATGGGGTCAACAACGAATAAGATGGTGCCAAGTCTTAGAAGATTTTGGGTTAGACAAAGTGTAAAATGACTTCTTTGGCTGTTCAGCTTCTACTCACGGAGCAGGAAACATGCAAGCCTTGTTAAGAGACGATTTAGGAGAAGTATCACGCAAAGAACGCAACTAAACCCGAGGGTAATTTTTCCCGGCTTGTGAACTTATTCAGAATCTGCTCTGCAGGCTGTCCTCTTCCTCGCGTTATTCAGTGTCAGGAACATCATCTCCGAGACCTTTAGGCAGAACCTCGGACAGTGATGCACCAAACATGATAGCCAAAATGATACCCCCCACTAGTCTTGATAAAGTACGAGGGTATGGCATCACCCGATTTCTCTTGAAAATAAAGGAGGATATGGCTTCTAACAGAAATCTGGTGGAAACAGTAGACGTGGTGAAACATTACAATATAATGGGAAATGGTTATTAATTTACATCGCAGAAACGTGCCAGCCAACAAAAGGGAAACATCATTTCGGTATATCTATGCTTGGACTTACTGCGTTGATCAATGAAGCTAATTTATATTTGTCGAGCATGTGCTTGCAGGGATGATAAACGGAGTAAGACCAACGAAGACGCATTAAGGCGCAATAAAGAACGCACTGATATAAGAGACATATGAAAATAAGATCTCTTCTCCATATTTTGGGCATGGAGGAAAACCTTAATTATAACCCATTGTAGACCACTCCTCCAAGAGGATTCGAATAACCACTGTGGCCGTGGTTCAGATGTCACGGTACTTTGTGTCATTTGTACGACGGCAAAGCCCTTTAACCATACGAATTATAAGTGCGCAAAGCTCATTCAATCCATCAGGATAAAAAGCACCAGAGAATGCTGTAGCAAAATTAAATATTTGTCAGAACAGCGTACTCTTTCAGTTCCTGCAAAGCTGGCGTTGCGACAGCATTGATTCTTCGACTGATCCTCACAAGCCTCTTCTTCGGAAAACACGGACGCAAGTTATTGCGCGCGAAAATGCCATCTGTTTGGGAACGAGATCATATCCAATGAGAACTGGATGGATAACCTGACCCCGGCAGGAGAATTTAATTGTACACTGGAGTTTATGTCACGGCGAACACCCTGGGAGGCATCGGTAGCATGTGAGACTTATTGGGTGATACAAGGGAAGGAGAGTGGGGCAGCACGACACAAGAAGATGGTGCAGATGATACAAGGGCTCGGAGAAATAGCAAAAAGGGTCCTAGATGTCGCTCTAAAGTGATCGACGTTTCATCAGGATCCTTCGCCCCAGTTTTGGAGGAGAAAGAGAGAATTTTTTTGGGTAAGCTAGACCAACTTCTAGCGTTAATTGCCGTGAAACGATCGGAACCCCATAAAGCACACAGGAAAATTCAAGTTACAAAGAACAAGCGAAGCAGAACAAGGCGACGCACCTAACGCCGCTGAGCAATTTGTCCTACCCCCGCTTGGTAGAATGACACATCTGATAGGAGAAGCGAAAGAGCACTGTGATGGGGATGAGAGCAGGGAAGCAGCAGGCGTCGCCGCCATCGGACTGCTCTCTCTCCTGGTACCCCAGGACACCGTGTGTCTCGATGCTCCTCCTTCGGTCCTCGGGTAGGTGATTACTATTGCCCACACGAACTCTTCTAAGGGTGCGTATCGATGTTCACTCCTTTCCCTGCCATTTCTTCCCTGATATTTCTAGTTTCTGTGGAGGAGAAAAAGAGGCCGAGGAATGAGGAGAAAATCTGAAAATATCTCCAGTCATGTGGGTAGGAAGATGGAGAAGGCAAACGGACGAGGTTCCTGATATTTTCCTTTCCTCTTCTCCCGGTCTTTCCTTGATTCTTGGGGTAGAAACAAGATGGTGAGGTCGAGGCCCGAAAAGACGCAGGAAACGGTATCAATCTCCGCCGTGCCAGTCAACGACTTATCCGAAATCAGGAAGCAGACAAAACTGTGAGATCAGGGGTTCGCTGATCTCCACCTTCGCTGCTGCTAATATCCGACTGGCTTATCTCTACGTCAAATGTGGGCGAATAAAGAGTGGTCAGATGCACCTTGACCCGGCGTGTTTGTGTGTGAGAATACCTTGTTTCGGTCTTAGCTGCCGTCCTCTCCCCGATGGCTCTGGTAGCGAACCCCAAGATCAGGGGCGCCTACTACTCTCTTCCAACACCGATTTCGTCACCCGCAACGAGGAGCGAGTTGAGGCAGCTGCAGACGGTAAGGCCTCTTATCTTTCTTCGCGCGGAGGAGAGGGCCATTTTGCCACTAAGGAGAACGCGATCACACGAGTTCGCCGCACTGTGCTGTCATCGAACCTCATTGGGGGCGGAGGCCGCTGCCACGGAGGAAGAGCTCCCTTTGGAGACGGCGGGGTTGTCCTCGCCGTCCCTGGTCGGTACGATTCTCTGGTCCGACGTGGCGGTGATACGACGGGGGAAGGGGCCCTGGGGGAGGCCATGGAACGCTTCGGACGTGGGGACGGCGGCGGTGGTGCTATCGATGCACGTTCTCTGCCTGTTTGCCCCGTGGACTTTCAGCTGGGGTGCGCTCTGGACGGCGGGAGGGCTCTATATCGTGACTGGACTGCTGGGCATCACGCTCTCCTTCCACCGCAATCTTGCCCACCGGAGCTTCAGGCTCCCCAAGTGGCTCGAGTACACCTTCGCCTACTTCGGTGTGCAGGCACTCCAGGTGAAGTCCCTCCTCTGGCGATTAAGCTAGGACACCCTCCGACACCAACCGTCCCCTAATGTCTCTGGTCATGAAAACGTCGGTTGATTTCTTCTGCCACGTAATGCAGGGGAACCCTCTCGACTGGGTAAGCACCCACCGATTCCACCACCAACACTGTGACTCAGACCTGGATCCCCACAGTCCTCTCGAGGGGTTCTGGTTTAGCCACGTAAGCTGGCTCTTTGACACAGCCTCCATCGTTCGAAGGGTAAAAGACAGACACCGTTTTCTGTGACTAAAAGCCTTACTCTTGTTCCTGACGAACCGCGCGCTGCAGTGCGGAGAGCGTGACAACGTGGGAGACCTTGAGAAGCAGCCATTCTACCGCTTCCTCCGGCAGACCTACGTTCTTCACCCAATGGCACTCGCGCTTCTCCTCTACAAGCTTGGCGGACACTCGTACCTCGTCTGGGGCATGGTAAACGGAATAGACATCGGACCCCGTCTCTCATCATTCCCGCGCACTGCAAATTCATGCCCTCGGTTCCTCTGGCAGGGTGTGCGGATCGTGTGCGTGTACCATATCACTTGGCTCGTCAACTCCGCGTGCCACGTCTGGGGGCAGCAAGCCTGGAACACGGGTGACCTATCCCGCAACAACTGGTGGGTGGCCTTGCTGGCTTTCGGGGAAGGATGGCACAACAACCATCACGCGTTCGAGTACTCTGCCAGGCACGGGCTGGAGTGGTGGCAGCTTGACATTACGTGGTACGTAGTGCGGCTACTGCAGGCATTGGCTCTAGCCACCGATGTCAGGCTCCCCACCAGGGCGCATATGGAGAAAATGCGTCCCCAAGTCTGAGGGGACGGCCTTGGCCCCCTCGACGGGGCTACAGGCTTTCCACGAGGGCGATCATTGTCTAGAGAACTGGGCGAGAGAGCCCTCCTGTCCCAGGCTAAGTTATGAGTTGGTAGCCCCTGTCGGGCTTGAGCACGCCCGCCATCTTGCCACGGAAAAGTTTCAGGGGATTTAGATAGTGACGCTTGATTGTCACATGGCTTGCATACTGAAATTATTTTTGGTGGAATCTCACAATAAGTATCTCGACAGAAGATGAAGGATTAAAACATTTTTTTACTTTCTTAAGTGCTTTTACTGATCTTTCTTCACCACCATGATTCATTTCTACTCTAGTATTTTTCAACTTATGACGCAGATATCTATTTTAGAAATAGATTCATGAATTACCAACTTCAAAGATCTTATACCAGGTATACCAAATCAATAATAATAAACATAAATTAAAGAACTCAACACAAAATCAAATAAGAAAATTCCTATTGTATGTTTATTATACTCAATATTCATTATCCCTGGTATTTCTCACACCAAATCAAAAGATACAAAGAAAATTAAAGTACAATCAAAATACTGATCTTCTCTTCAATACTCAATATCCTCTTTCTCTAGTTTTTTTTATATTTAATTATTAATCAATTCTAGATAATAAGAAAGAAAAAGTTTTAACGATGTTATGATTAAATCAAGAATAGAGGAGAATAGATTAGAGATTATAGAATGGAAAGATGAGAAGGGTGGTTGTTAATAGAATGACTTATATTGACATGTATAATCTTTTGAAATAATTAAAACTAAAATCTAAAATAAAATAAAATAAATAGAGTGCAGAAATACTTGTTTTTCAATCAAGGGTAAGTAAAATAATTAAATTCGTGATAAAAACTAAATTCTAAAACTAAGATTGAACTCTGTTGTTCGTCACACATTGAAATCCTATATCACTAAAAAAACTTTTAATTAATGTATTAAATCTTGATTAAATCTTATAATTTCAATTGGAACTATTTTACTTTCCTTTTCTATCACCGAAAGATGAGAAAAGATATTCCAAGTAGTTATAATCAAAATTTCAACTAAATTCATAATGATGAAAACTGATAATAAATATGAAAGTCTTCTATTTTCCTTGTATGTCACCTAAGTAAATGAGGAGAAAAAATACCTAAATTAAATGAATTCGAAAACAAGTTCTTTTTGCTCAATGTATATCACCCAAAGAACAAAAATAAATAAACTAAGGCAATAATAAAAATTCAAAATGTAAAGAAAACTTTGTTGATCGTAGCTTGTTGATTTTGAGATCCTCCTCCTTATTCCATTGCTCTCCAACCTTCTCCCTTGACTTGCAGCCTCTTATCCTTTGGTCAACCCTCTGTGCCTTTTCCCCTAGAGGGGCTGAAGAGCTTCATTTTCTATTACTTCGATTTGAAAATCTCTCATATTGTTTTGATTTAATTGTTTTGTTCCTTTTTCATCTTCAATATTTGACTCTCATTTTCTAATTCAATTCCTATCGAATATGATATTTTAAAAGAATCATTCATTCATAAATAAAGAAGCTTCATTTCAAAATTTAAATCAATCATAGAAGTATTTGTGGAGAAATCATGATTTTCTTATCATCATTTGTTTAGTTTTGATTTTTCTTTGATTTTTTCAATCATTTAAATCTATGGAAGACACATGATTTGAGCTAGGGCCACCCGTGTGGTAGGCATGTCAATGGTCAACCAGCGCTCCACTAGACTAGTGCTTGCCAAGGTTTAGTCCTACATCAGTTTTTCTAGTAATTTTTGTGGATATATGACTCCGGGTTTTCTTAAGTATTTGACTTCCTCATCTCAAAAACAAAAGGACCATGACCACATAGGGAGAAGATATAATAGGTGGTCTGTCTCCACCTAATGTGTGGGGGCTTTTATCAGCACTATCTTCCCTCCTGGTGAGATTTACCTAGCTTGCCATCCATTCAACCTTTCCCTAATTTTACTAACTATATTTTCTAAATATTTTTTTTTTTGTAATTCCCTTATACATTGGGGATACTAGATACATGAAAGGTAAGTGTCCTCTACTAAAGCTAGTGAGATTCTAAATGCCTATAATCCTTTTGTTGGGTGCTTTTCTAGCTGTGTAGAATGAGGATTTTTGTTTATCAATTTTTTGTCCCGAGCTACCTTCATATTCTCTTAAGAAATTTCATCAAATTCCTTATTGACTCAATGCCGCCATTTAAAAAGAGAGTGGGTAATCAAAGGGCAACCCCTCTTTACTATTTAGGGTTTAATTTTTCTATGGGAATATGGAAATGTTAATCATCTACTTAGGACTTCTTTTTCCAGGATAAATAATGTAGGTGACATGATGTCCTCCTGTCTAAGTCCCCTGCTAGCTGTGAAAAATCTAGATGAGGTTCCGTCCATTAAGAGTGAGAAGTGATTTTGGGAGATGGATTTATTTATCCATCCAATCTATTTTGGAACAAAGCTAATTTTCTTTAACACCTTTATGATGAAAGGGCATTCTATTCAGTCATATACCTTCTCCATGTCTAGTTTAATCATGATGTGCCATAAGGATCAACTCCATATTAATTGAAAATCTATTTCTAACTCGAATCTTATGATGACATGTTTGGCATCAAGTGTTCCGACATGTATTCTTCCTTTAAGCTTTCCCACCCCTATTAATTTGTCTCTGATCATTATAAGTAGTGGGCAATTTCTAGTAAATTTGCCTACTAGGGCATCTTTAAATGGTGCGGCTAAAAGTTCTCTCTCTTCTTCTATAAATTCAATTGTGGGGATGTCATCCTAGGGATAGGAGGAGTTATGTCATCTCGTTTGTACAGATTGGGGCCCTATATGTTCTTTTCTTCTGAACTTTACATATGTCATGGAGTGAATTGAATTATGTGGTTCAGGTTGTTCCTTTATGCATTGGGACTTCTTAGATTTTTCTCCTTGATGGGCATCTATTAGGATCATTGATGGGTATATACAAGTGTCTATGGTTATGTTTTTATTACTTGTCAAAATATTTCCCTCCCTATTTTTATTAATTGTTTTTTTCATGCTTTTGTATCAATATCTCCTTTTTGTTAGTTCATCTCCGAATCTTTTCCATTCAGCAAGTGTTTTAGCATAGTCTTGATTTGAAGGGTAGCATTTTCCTCACGGATTCAATTCTCCCTTTCCCCCTTTTTCTTTTTCTTTTTTTTTATAGAAAATTTCTAATCTTCTCCTTTTCTTTTTCTTTTTTCTTTTTTCTTTTTTCTTTTTTCTTTTTTGGCAAATCATAGCACCTTTTGGTGCTTTCACTCCTTCTGCTGTTTTTTTTTTCTTTTTCTCTGCCATTCCACTACCTCGAGTACTTCAATCCATTGACTTATTTTCTTTCTTGGAGGGTTGATTGGTTGGGGATGAGGCTTCCTGCAGCACTCCCTCATTCCCTGCAGCACACATCTAGACATGCATTATTTGTTTAATTTTAGTTTTCTGTGTTTTAATTTCATTCCATATTCTCTTTAATTTCCATTAGGTGCATCTATCTTCCCTGATCATGTGCATTAGAGTCATTGAATCAGTTTTAGTTACGATTTCTTGGAGATTTAACTCACCACATAGCACATAGTTTTAAGCTGTCAACCAATGCCTTATATTTTGCTTCCATGTTTGTGAAGGTACCATAATGATTTGATAAAGCATGAATTATATTTCCTAGGTTTCCTTTGGAGGCTCCATCAATGTTTAATTTCATGTTGTCTTGTTGATAGAGTGATTGAGCCAATCAACTCCTCATCTCAAGTCAACTCAGTGGAGCCAACTCAAGAAAATTATCAACCTCTGTTGAATCTCTTAAGACCAACAAAAGTATTCACCCTATCCAATGGGCCCAAGAAAGAAGAAGAAGAAGAGCCCATTAATGAAGAGCCCATGGAGGAAGGCTCACCATCCAATGGGTCTATAAGAGAAGGATAAGGTGCCCCTCCAAGAGACACTATCTCAAGAGGAAGAGGCGTCTCTACCCACCCAACTAGCCTCTCTCCCATTCATCTCGTTTTTTGTAAATTGAAGATAGAATGCCATCTCAAGGACAGGCCTTTGGAATTCGGAAAAAACGTCGCGTCTTACTCTCCTTTCATCTCTCTCTCTCGTCGATCCCTCCCATTCTCTCCCGTCGTTCCCTCCCATTCCCTCTCACTCTCTCGTTCGTTCTCCTCTCTCTCGTCTCCTCTCCCTTTCTTGTTCATTCTCTCCCTCTCACTCCCGTTCTCTCCCGTCTTCTTTCCCCTTCTTCTCCTCCGCCGGAATCCCCTTCCCCTTCGTTCCCTCTACCTCTTCCCTATTTCCTTTTCCCTCTCTTTCTCTGCCTCCTCGCCGCTCGACTCGCTGCACCGTTCCGCCTCCTCTCCGTCCGCCCCATCGTCCCCGTTTCCACCTCCCTGCCAACGCCTGCCGTCGCCACCCTTCCCCCTTCCAGCTGTCCTCCCGTCGCGAAACCCTCTTCCTTTCTCTCTCCCACTGTCGCCACCATCCGCCTCCTCGCCGTCCGCCCGTCGTCCCCGTTCCCACCTCCTCGCCGCCGCTCCGTCACCGCCTTTCCGCCTCCTCACCGTCCGCCTCGCCACCACCTTTCCGCCTCGTCGCAGCCATTCCGCCTCCTCGCCGTCCGCCTCACCGCCACCATTCCACCTCGTCGCAGCCATTCCGCCTCCTCGCCGTCCGCCTCACCGCCACCATTCCACCTCGTCGCCGCCTTCCGCTTTCTCGCCGTCCACCCCTCGCCCCTTTCTTTTCTCTCTCTCTCCCGCTGACGCCGTCATTTCGCCTTTTTCTCTCTCTCCCGCCGTCAGCACCAGAACCGCCATTATTTTTTCCTCTCTCCTCCGTTGTCGCCATATCATCTCACCCGTTTCTTTTTCAACCCCTTTATTTATTATTTATCCGTTCATACCCCTGCTCTCCAAATTCCTCCTTTATTTATTCATTCCCTTTTTT